CATTGTGTGATTAAAGTCTTCTATAATTACTATTTGTATTTGTCTATTTTTCTTTATAACAATTTCTACTATTTTTTGTTAAATGTTTTTTCCTACTTTGTTACTTGGTAATATATAAACTCCTATTACTATTAACTTCAATTGCTTGAAGTATAATCTAATTTCTATTATATACTCATTTATTTTCTTAACCACACCTACATATTTTGTTTATTGTTCATCTATCAAAACTTCTATATATAAACCTTTTTTCTTATCTTTTATTGTACTACTCTAATATCTATTATATTTTTTTGTTGTCTTGTATATTAAAAATTTTTACTTTCTTTCTGTAAAATTTGTCTCTGTAATTCTCAGTATTGCAATTTCCTTTTCTTTTGCTTAGTCAAGTAGATTTTCAAGTTTTTAACTTTTGGTTTTTAATTTATTGATATTATAATATACAATCTTTATCTCTTTTTTTTCTTTCTTTTATTTTTCTTTTAATTAGTTTTGTTATTTCTATATTAATTAAAAAATTTTTTTTTCTACTTTTTTCTTCTTTTTGATAAAAAGCTACTATTTTTTTTTTAAATACTTTTCTTTCTTTTTATAGAAAATTCTTAAGCTTCTTATCTGCTCTTATTAATTTAATTGAAATACTTTTAGGAATAATCAGATTGGGTCTTTTATACTCTTTTTCTTACTATTTCTAATCTTTCTAATCTTTCTAATATTTGACTTAGTATGTTTTCTAAATTAATTACTTATTTCTATGGCTTCTTTGTGTTTTTGTTTTCTTTTTTTGATTTTTTTGTTTTTGGATTACAGTATTAAAGTTTTTTTTGTCTTTTTTTTTGTTCTGATAGTTTTTGTTTTTCTATTCATTTCTTCTATATTTTGATCTTATATTATATTTATTTTTGTTTGTAAACTCTTTTATGTCTATATGATCTTTTTTTAAACCAGTTTTTTTTTGTTATTTTTTTTCTTTATATTTTTGTATTTTATTGCTATTTTCATAAAGCTCTTTATTTATCTTTCTTGTTTTAAATTTTTAGTACATTAAGACTTTATTATATTAGACTTTTTCTTGGTCATTATATCTAAGTCTGCTTGGTTTCTAAATAATACTACTATATAATTTCTTGGTTTTTTCTATCTGTTTGATGGGATGTATAATACCATTGCTTTCCTAACTTTGAGTTTTTGTAATAGAATTAATTTTGAAATTCCTTTTGGTATTTTTTTTAGTCTTGCAATAAATTGATTTTATTTTTTATTTTTTATTTTTTTCTTCATCTGTTGTTATTCTAGCCAATTTTTTATTTCTTAAAAAAATTACCTATAAAAATGTTTGTTCTTTTTTTTTTTATTTTTATTACTACTATTGTTTTGTATATGTTTCTTTTAATTTTATATGCTACTACTTTGTCTATCTTTTTTACCAAGTATTTAACCTTATACTCTGAGATCTCTTTTGGCAAATTCTATATTATTAGTATTATTGTATTTTCATTTTCTTTGTTTACATCTGCATTTTTTTAATTATACATTTTGTCTTCTACTCTTTTGTTTTTTTTTGTTTTTTTTTTTTTTGTTTTTTTTCTTTTTCTTTTTTTATTCTGGTTCTGCTTTTTCTTATTTTTATATTTTTCTGATTCTTTTGTATCTGAAATTATTCTGAATTAGTTATTGTATTTTTTTTGAATCTTGTTAATTGCTTCTTTTTTGTCATATTTACAGTCAAATATAACTATAATTTAAATAATATTTTTTTTAAACAGTTCTTTAATATCTTTAATATTTTGTTAAATATTAGTAATCTGTTAACAAACTTTGTTTTTTCTTCTTGTAAACTGCTTAGTATATTAAATGCTAATATGTTTACTATATATTTTTCTATTATTATAATATCTATTTGTAAGTAACTACGTGCTTTGTTCTAATAGTGCTTCTGTAAAGTTACTTCTATCTTTCTATCATTCTGCTTTATATATTTTTTCTTTTTTATTTCTTTTATTTTTTTTTTAGTTTCTATTTGCTGTAATTATATCTTGATAGTTTTGTTGTATTATATTTGTTTTTAATACTCTAATTTCTTTTTCTATATAATTATTTGCTATTTTTATATAAGTTATTGTACTTGTTACTTCTGTAGTTATAACTTCTTCGCTTTTTCTTCTTTTTTGTTTTTCCTTTTCTTTTATACTTGTGTTCTGTTATAGTTCTTTTTTATTTATTATTATATCTACTATTTCTGTTTTTTGTCTTATTTTTCTATATATATTTTTGATTTAATGTTTTTTTCTTTTAGCATCACTTGATCTTTTTTGTTTCTTATATTTTGTATTACTAGTAGGTGTTAGCTTGTATAATTTAATTCTTTTATCTATTTTTCTATACTTAATAGATCTTTTATATTTACTTTAATTATCATTTTATATATTTTTTTTAACATTACTGTTTTCATTAGATCTGTTTTTTATGTATTGTTGCTATTATATCTCTTATATTAAAATGATTATTTTTATTTGCTAATTTTTACTCTAATTTTTTACTATCTATAAGCTTTAGTTCTTTCTCTATCTTTTCACTTATCAATTTTAGAAGCATTGATTTTTTTATTTTCATCTGTATCAGTATTTGATTATATTTTATACTACTTTTCTTAATTTGTTTATAGTCATGTATACTCTGTAATATTTATATGTTTGTCTTGTCTATATTTATATATACTTGTTTGTTTGTCTTTTTATATACTCACATGTTCTAAACAGATCTATGATTTTAAGTCTATACTGGTTTTATAAAATTTTATTTTTCAGTACTCATTTATTGAGTTTGTTACTTTTTTATTAACTGTTTGGCTTTTTTTCTTTTATTAGTATACCTGTTGAGTCTATTTCAGAAGCTCTTTCTGTTTTATTAAGTCTTTGGATGCTGTTTTGATATTAGTTTTTTATAATATTCAATTTTGTTTTTATAAAATTTTTTGTTTTATTAACTAATATAAATCAATTATTTATACTGTATATTAAATATTTCATAATATATTAATAAAATGCTGAATTAGTTCTTATTTTTATGTTACTTGAACTATTTATTAACTATTCTATTTGCTTTTATTTCTAATTTCTAATATGATTATGTTTTGCAACTACCTTATTTATAATAAAAAAACAAATAGTTATAAAGATTAAAATGCTTATATCTCATGATGCACTAAGATGATTTTAATGGTTCAACTACCATTATAATTGGAATTCTCTCTTCTATAACTTTTATTATAAATCAAAAAAAAAGGTTACTTTGTAGAAAGCTAACATGTTTTTAGAAAACCTTTAGATTTCAAAAATAATAGTAAATTTCACCATTTTTTATTATATATTTTTACTGATTCTCATGCGGATCACAAATTAACTCTAATTTAATACTCTAAGTAAACTTATTTAATATATAAAAAATATATATAATTTAAACTCAAACTAGTTTGCAAACTTTGAAGTTAAACCTCAAATCAAATCAAATTTAACTAAAAAATTTGAAACCAAACTTAAATCAAATATAATTTTAAAAATAGTTTGAGTTTGAATTTGATTTGAAGTCAAATCAAACTCAGAAGTTTGATTTGATTTGTTTAGAACCCTATATTATCATTATCATAATTTTTTGTAGAACTTTATATAATTAAAAACTCAAGTCCAACTTTTGAAACCAAGTAAGTTCAGATTAAACATTTAATATCTTTAAATAACGTAAAATTAATAAATGAATTATGTAGCATAAAATTAAAAATTTAATATATACGTATGTACGTGTGTGTGTTGTTACGAAAAATGTTGTAATAAATTAAGGTACATTTTCCTTTCGTAATTTTTTTCCGTAATGCGAAATGATTTTCTTGGTAGTTAAAAGTTATGACTACATTTTGCGTAATGATTTCTAGCTTATTTGAGCCTAATAGAAAAACTATATAAAGGGTCTAACTGCACCATCATTCCTAACTTCATGTCCGTGGTCTGCGTTAAATTGATATCGAGTCATAAAGTTTCTCCTGGGTCACAACACTATTCACAGGTTTGTATTTATAATATCGTATCATGCTTATTGTCCAGATCTCAGATTCGAACTGAATCTTATTTATTATTATAATATCGAATCGAACTCCGCAGTCATTCGCCGTCACGATTATTCAAACCATTTTCCCAGTTTCAGATTATACGGTGACGATTTTGCATCCGGTTCGGAACTCTATTGTTGAACAATAGTAGAGACGGTGATCGGTTGTCGTTCAATTCCCGAAAATTATTTACCTACCAAAACATCATCTACAGCACATTTTTCTATAAGACATATTTGACATTACAATCCTTTTCGTAGACAAGACATTTCTCCGACAATAATTTCCTCGATATAAAATTTATCTTATAGAAAACATGTACCATAGATGAAATAGCATGTCGGCATTACTGTGTCGAGTCATAACCTCGAACACACCATAGCTAATCATTTTTTATCAACATTAAATTTACTTATAACAAAAATGAATATAACAAAAATGAATGTAACATTAATTAAATTTAATGTGGATTATTATACTCTTTGAAAAAAATGAATGAACGAACGATCAATAAATAACATGATTGTTCAATTACCATCTTTATTAATACTTATTTATGTCTTAATTAAATAAGACCATTTTTGTAAATTAAGACAAACTGGCTCATATAAATCAAATATAATAAACGATAAATTTTATTCTTTTTAATAATCAAAATATTTGTACTAAATGTATATATATCTATGTGAAGAAAAAAAACATAAAAAAACTCCAATTGTCCATTATATAATATATGCATTATGTTGATGGGAACTATGTATTCCATACGTAAACATAAACTAAAAAACCAGAGATATTTTGTCTTTGTTTTGAAAAAATTATCTAAATATTTATGCTCCCTTAAGTGTTTCGTGTAAAAAAAAAAAAAAAAGATAGATACCCAAACATAAATATAATATTATTCTGCCTCTTCCTCAGCAGCATATTCTTCTCCACCTTCTTCAAATTCACCTTCCTCTTCAGCTATAATTACAAAAGGATTAGTATTAATCACAATGAAGAAAAAAGATTATGCAAACTTGGTAAAGCTACATACTGGATGCTTCTTGATATTGCTGATATTCTGAAACTAAATCGTTCATATTTGATTCCGCCTCGGTGAATTCCATTTCATCCATACCTTCACCAGTATACCAATGCAAGAAAGCCTTTCGTCTAAACATTGCAGTGAATTGTGTGTTTATACGTTTGAAAAGTTCTTGAATCGCCGTGCTGTTGCCGATGAAAGTGCCGGACATGGTAAGACCAACCGGTGGGATATCGCACACAGCAGTTTTAACATTTGATGGAATCCATTCAACAAAGTAAGCGCTCATTTTAGTTTGAATTGTATGCATTTGTTGTTCAATTTCCTTTGTGGAAAGTCTACCACGGAAGATCGTTGCCACAGTCAAGTATCGACCATGACGAGGATCTGAAGCAGCCATCATGTTGCGAGAATCGAACATTTGTGCGGTTAATTCTGGTACTGTAAGAGCACGGAAACCTTGAGACCCGCGGGAGGTCAGTGGTGCAAAACCAACCATAAAGAAATGTAGACGTGGAAAAGGAACTATTCATTGAAACAATAATAATAATGATAGTGATAAATAAATTGATAAAAATAAATCAAACATAAACATATAAGAAATTAATATAAAATACCCATATTGACAGCAAGTTTCCTCAAATCACTGTTTAGTTGACCAGGAAATCGTAAACAAGTTGTAATACCGCTCATGACGGCCGATACGAGATGATTAAGATCACCATAACTTGGATTAGTCAATTTCAATGTACGGAAGCAAATATCATATAAAGCTTCATTATCGATACAAAAGGTTTCATCACTGTTTTCTACTAATTGATGAACTGAAAGCACTGCATTGTATGGCTCAACAACAGTATCAGAAACCTTTGGAGATGGTACTACCGAGAAGGTACACAACATACGATCAGGAAATTCTTCACGGATCTTTGACAATAACAAGGAACCAAGGCCGGAACCAGTACCACCACCAAGAGAATGAGTCACTTGAAAGCCTTGAAGACAGTCGGTAGATTCGGACTCTTTACGAAGAACATCTAAGATTGCATCGACTAGTTCAGCGCCTTCTGTGTAGTAACCTTTAGCCCAATTATTACCGGCACCAGATTGACCAAACACGAAATTATCTGGCCGAAAAAGAGAGCCGTACGGGCTAGATCGGATCGAATCCATAGTCACAGGTTCAAGATCTATTAATATAGCCCTATTGATAAGGTAGAAAATATAACCAAATGGTATATGGTCAAATTTTATTTCTTGATCAAATAAATGGAAAACTTCTATGATAGTAACAAACCTTGGTACATATTTTCCACCCATGGCCTCATTGTAATATACATCAATGCGTTCTAACTGTAAGTCACTGTCACCATGGTAAGCACCCGTAGCGTCAAGGCCATGTTCTGCAGAGATGGCTTCCCAGAATTTTTGACCAATCTACAATTTTCAGATAACGCGAAGGTAAAGAAAAAAAAAAACAAAAAAAAAAAAAGAAAAAAAAGTCCTTTAGCAAACAAATAAACAAGTAAACAAACAAACAGGACGCGTTATTTGTGAATAGGAAGATAAGTTAAACAGTAGCACAAAAAGCTCTTTGCTTTTTACAATGAACATAAGAAGTTAGAAAAAATAACAATATTATACCTGATTACCACATTGACCTTGTAAAGTAAAAACAACGCGATAAGTAAGCTTAAAAAAATTCATAACTGATAGTAACAACATAACTCACCAGTTTGTAAGTGAATAATTTCCCTCATTTTTTTTAGAATATTTTTCAAGACAGATTTGAAAAGATTAAAAAGATAGTTTAAAAGAAAAACCAGAAAAACACGAGTAAAGCAACAAAGCTGGGAAAAAGGGTATAAAAGGAAAAAGGGTGATTATGATCCAGATAAACTAGGGTAAAAAAAAATTTCTAGTAGCCAGGGTTAAGTATGAGTGGACCAATAGAATGTGTTAAACTTGAATCTCATCCAATCATAAAGGTGTCGTTAACCTATATTACACATTTACGACGATTGACAGTGCATCTGCGGAAAGTTTTTAAAGCACCAGTAACAAATATTCTGCGACCCTTTGACGTTGTGTGTCGTGAAAATACATACACAGTATGTATTGTATAAGTCTTTTTTTTAGTATGAAGAACTAATAAATTCTATTAGCCGAGCCAATAATATTATAATTAATAATCGTCGAACCATTAAGAATGATATTTATAAACCTTTCGTCATTGGACATGGAACACACCGATAGCAATAGTACACGTACATTTACATTAAAAAAAAAAAATCCATGCATTGTAATAACATTAAATAACATTGTAATATATTTCCTTTTTGAGATTAAAAGTGATCGAAAAGCTGATTATCATTACTATTTACTTGTCAACCGCAGTACTTTGATGACTTCTTAAAACAAATAAACAGTAGCCTGATGTTTAAAAAATATTTCTAAATACGGTTAACAAGATGAATTTCCGCATGATCTACAGACCTTTACATGACTCTTAAGCTTAATTACTAGTAATTGAAGATACCGGTACATAGCGAAACTGCGGTAAAGACTGGTTTTCATCAAGTTTTTATTAAAACAATCTTATAATCTAAATACTTAATTTGCTTAATAAGTTCTATTAATATTGAAGTTGTTAATATATAGAGTACGTAAAGCTATTTCAAATTAATTTTAAGTTGGATTAAATATTATTACTATACTCACCGTTAATATTAAAAAAAAAAATTATTACTATATACTATATATAAGTTAAGCAATTAGAAATAATTTTAATTTAACAAGTTTTTTGTATACATTAAACAACAACTTTTTTTGCTAAGTTTCTGTATATCAATATTAAAAAAAACTTTAAACAAAAAACTAAAGTAATTACTTATATAATTAATTTTTGTAAATCTTATACAAAAAATCAAGTTTATAATAATTAAATTTGATATACAAAAAGGTTATAGAATTTTTTGCAATTAAGTTGAATTTAAAATAGTATATTTTATTACAGTCACGCCTCTCTAAGTGCATGCTGTCGGGACCATAGTAAAAAAAATCAAAATTTTGCACTTAGAGGATGTTTGCACTTATGGAAAATAAAATATATAAGGTTCTTATAAGTTGGAGCCAATCTATAATTTGCATTTAGAGAGGTTTTACATAGTACTTGCACTTAGGGGGTGTGCACTTAGGAGGGTGTGACTGTATAAAAAGTATTATATTTAAATTATTTTTAACATAAAGTATGATGATCTAGTAAAGTGAACAGGTTGTTAACCCTCAAGTAGCAGGTCTAAAGTTTAAATCTTATAAACAATAAATTTTAGAAATTATATTTGTGTTATAGTAATTGTTTCTGTTAATTAGTTAAATTAGTGTATCTGTAATCTTTAGTCATATTATTTTAAATATGAGTTTGGGCATCTATACAAAATGTAATAATTATTTATATATAAAAAAATATTAATAATTAGTATTATATAAAATTTTAGTAAAGGTATGATAACTTAGTGAAGTGGATAGATTGTTAATCTTTAAGTGGCAGGTCTAAGGTTCAATTTTTATGAATGATAAATTTTGAAAAATATATCTGTATTATAATAACTGTTTCTTGCCAATTGGTTGAGTTTTGATTTTTGTAATTTAGATATACCAAGTTGGGTTCACTTGACATTGTAAGCTTAGGACATTTATACAAAGTATAATGTTATATATATATAGAATAATATATAAAACTGATATCATATAAGGCTTTAATGCAAATTTATGATAAGATTACTGAGTATAAAAAGTTAAAAAAATAAGAAGATAAAAACTTACTTGAAATTCTAAATAAAGAGGTAGCACATACTTTTAATAATACTGTTGAATTGATAAAAGCTCATAAAATATCTTTATAAAAATCTTTGGATAAACCAGATGACAAATATATAAAAAAAACACATACACCAACCAGGTTGCTAGAATTATTAAAGAAAAAGAATACATAAATATATTATACTAGGTCATCTAAATTAGAAGTCTAAAAAGTCAGTTAGTTCTAAGTTACGACTAATAGAAGATAATAATAAAGAAATCAGAAAAATAAATATTAAGGTTTGGATAAATTTTACAAAGATAATAGTAGTTTAATAAATAATTCTAATTGTAAATGTTAGTCTTTATCAGTGTTGTTAATAGATAGATGTAAACAAATATGTAAACAAATATATAGACAATATACAAATATGTTATACAAAAAAAAAATATTAATAGCTCAAAAGTTTATTATAACAACTTGATTTTATATATTAAATAAAAATGTTTATTAATGGGGTGTGGCGACCTAGTGAAGTGGTCAGGTTGTCAACCCCCCAAGTGGTAGGTTGGGTGTTCAAATCTCATTGACAGCGAAAATTTGGATAATCACCTATGTAATATTCGTATTACGGCAACTGTTACTAACGATTGGGTTAGGATACC